CGTTCTCCTGGCAACCGCCAAACCCAGACACATCCATTGGATTGCCAGACAGAGAAGTGTGATTTGTCAATCCAGAGAACACATCTCCTCTTCTCTAGAGTCCAGTGGCGGCGTGCTTTACACCACTGCATCTGACACTTTGCATTGCACTTGGTGATGTAAGGTTGGATGCAGCTGCTCGGCCATGGAAACCCATTCCATGAAGCTCTCTATGCACTCTTGTTGTGCCAATTTGAAGGCCACATGAAGTTTGGAGGTCTGTAGCTATTGACTCTGCAGACAGTTGGCGACTTCTGCGCACTGTGCTTGAAGTTTGGTTATTCTGAAACGGTGGTTATGACCCAGGTTAATACTGAGTCCTCCTTATCTGCTCCATTAGTTGCAAGACTTTCTTTCAAATCTAAGGAAAGTTACATTTGAGCAGAGAGAGGATATGTACAAAAACAGCCAACATTTGCAAAGTGATGAGGCATCACACTTAGAGGATGAGTGCAATGATGTAGAGGGAAAACTGAAATTCAAACAATTGGTGTTGCTGACAGTGCTGGTAACAATAATGCTTACAGGAAATCTATAATTTTGTAAAAGGTGAGGAAAGACAAGGAACATTCGTTTTTACAACTAGTAGTTTTCATAGTACATACTTCTTCATAAACTGCTGCCATGATAATGGAGAAAGGGACAAGAAGTGCAAAAAAGATGTTGCTCAATGGCAGCTCAGCTAAGCTCAGCCTCCCTCCCTTTCTCCCCCTACAATCATCCTGTATATTTAGGCATGGAACATGTTAACATTTAAAATATGAGGGATTACACTCAATAAGGTCAATTTTTTCTCTGATATTCCAAAATTTGCATTTCGTACAGGATTTTTATCCATCCTGTTATCGATCAAGGGGTGGATCAGGGGATTATTGTTGGAACAGATTTTATGCTCATGTCTGAAGAAATTATTTAGGTCCTGAGTGTCCTTTGCTTCTTTTAATTATTTAATTATATTACTTGACCAATTAAAGTTAAAAGAAATTATCAAAGAAAATACATTTAAATTTTTTAAAAATTTTAGGGTCATTT